TATTTCAGCGCAAATTTGTTGCAAATTATGAGAATTACGTAGCTAATCTGTTTTTAAAATGTACATATAAGTACATATAATTTGTTAACAGAAAATACGCGAGCGATTTTAAATAGATTTCTAAATATTTTTTCTTAACTTTTTATAGCCTGTACCCAAAGGGTAAAAGGCTATACTAGTTTTGTGCAAATGTATGTAACAGGCAGAAGGAGGCGTGGCAGACCCCACAAAGTATAAATATTCTTGATCAGCATGAGGTGACGAGTCGATCTAGCCCTGTCTGTCTGTCCGTCCGTCCGTCCGTCTGTATGAACGCAAGTATCTCAGGAAGTACAAGAGCAAGATTCTGATGTAAATCTATGCTGTTGAAATTGTGCATAAACACTTATGTCTGTATGCATGTGTTAAATATTTTATATTTAATTAAATTAATTAATTACTTTTTTAATTTTTTTTTTCGAGGGGTGATACAGGGTATTTAAGAGTTGAGCCCGCTCGACTTTAGCATTCCTTTCTTGTTTTCAGTTGGGCATAGCACTATTAGAAAAAGCACTAAATTGTAATTTACTTTTATAACCTGCACCTAAATGGTACAAAGGGTACCAGGGTTGTGCAGGATCAGAGATATAACAAGCAAGAAGGTAGCATCTTCGATCCAATAAAGTATATATGCATCCCTGCTTTAGAATCCGATTCCATTTATGTCTGTTACATATGAGTATGTATTTCCTCCTTCAACGCTGCAGAATTTGGTCAATACTGACCTAATTCTGAAGTACATTGACTTTGCTTTGCGTGCATAATAAAATTCATCAGATCAATTCTAAGAAAAGTAATTAGCGAAACCATTTTAGTTTAGTCCCAGTACGCCCACAAATTTGTTTTTTTTTTTTTTTTTGTTTCGGCAAAGGGTATATGCTGGAAATCTTATAGCAATCTATATTGTTGAAATTTTCAAAATATTTCATAATCATTATATATTGCTCATAAGCTTAACTCAACAAAACAATCATTCCATTTATCATCTACAGAAATGCAAACTTGATAATATATACGGTCACACATATGCACAATATTTTTAATTGCCTGTTCGGTAAAATAGTTTTATTCGAAAAAATTCAACTCTGAATACACATACATCTTCAAAACCTGTCCGTTCTTCAACTTCCACTTAAAGTAAGGCCCATTAATTTAAAAAGTTCAACTCACCTGCGAGCAAGAAAACAAAATTGTGAGCATAAATTTAAATAAAAATTGATTTTTGCATTTGGCACATTTTTGTAGTGCAGTTGTACTTTAAGGTGCTCCTTGAATTGTAGACATTGTTCCCTTCAGCACAATTTGTCTTCAGACATTGTTCTAAGAATCCTATTAAGACCTACCATCGTCGGGCTGCTTACGGCTAATACATTTCACATGCGACCAAGGTCCGGGGGAAAGCTCTAAAGGCCACAATTTTGTGCGCACAATAGCTTAACAGTGATCCCTGGCCAAACACATATCCATTTTATCAAAATAAGCAAACAAACAGAAAGTGGAATCGACCAAAAAGTTTAGTATATACATATATATGTTTATACTCGTACATATGTACATATGTATGTGTGGACGACTAAGCGAATATCCACAGCACATGCACATTTGCCATAAGACTTAGATACGATACTAGTCACATTTTCTTACATAATCGTCTCGACTAAAGTAGCGCGACTGTAAGTTTAAACAAAGCAGAAGAAACGAAGAACGACTGCCACTTAGGGAAGCTACTCGTATAGACCACGTCTAAGCACGAGACTCATTTGGATTGTCTGATGGCGACGACTCGCAAGCCACCAATACACTGACAAATGCGCCGTCGCCAATGTCTGTGCCGCTTCCCTCCCCACCCATCACTTTCCCCATAAAATAGCACACGAGCGACACTCGGCAAGCGGCCGATTACTCATATACATATATACATATTATTATATATATATATATATATATGTATATTCATAATATTCTTGGTGAGCGGTCCGAACCGACACGGCCATACATAAATCAACGCATTCGCAACCGCAACAGGTTCAAATGGGTTTCGTTTGTCATTGAGCGCGCCTCGCATTTACGACTATTCGGGAAAATATAGAAAACAGTTAGTGAGACGAAAAAAGGAATAGTGACGACGGAAATTACGACGCGTCGGGATGTGGCAAGTGACTAGATACTCGTATACATGCATACATATACCTATATATGTATAGTATATATATAATACATAGTAAACAAAAATACACACATTAATGCACGCGACTAGCGGACATTGTCCTGTGCAGGACATTTGGAGAGAGTGAAAGGCACTAAAGGGAGTGCGCCTGAATTATTAAAGGCATTCAAGCACGCGAGACCAAAAGCGTCCATTGCGTCTCTTTCCATGGGCGTGTGCAGTCAGCCAAGTGTTCATATTTCATTAAATGGCCGTTTAAGTTCAATGTTTCAATGGCCAGACGTAGCAGGCCAATATACTTTTACAATAAGCTATATACTGCTGCTACCAATATCCGTTATTGTATTTTGAGTTCCACAAAAGTGAAATTGATATCCATTGCTGTGAATCAATTAAGTTCATATGTTTTCCAACGCATTCAGTGAACAGGAAATTGTAAAATACTTAGTTCTTTGTCAGAAAAAAATTACATTGAACTTTCAGATTTTTATATATTATGTATACTCATATGTTTTATGTCGAGTCTAAAATTCACATTACATAACTAAAAGACGAAACAATTAAATGAGGTCTGCTATTACTTTGCAGTTCGCTTCACAGACTTCGATCGAAGTCGAAATTGATATCCACTGCTCTGAACCAATTAAGTTCAGGAGTTTGGATTCAGTTTGTAATTGTTTGTTAAAAATATACATTTCGTTTTGTTTACTTTTAAAAAGGTTGTGTAGTTTCATCAACTCCTCGAAAGTGAATTTGATATCCAGTGCTTTGCACTAATAAATTTCATAAATAACACTGTGGATTCAATAAACCGTACATTGTAAATATCGTAAATAAAACTTGGTTTTTTTTTACCATTTTCAGTTATATCGAATAAGATATTTTAGTTATTTCTAAAAAGTAGTATTACTCCAACAAAAAACTTAAATCACTTCTACGTCGACATTCTGCGCATGGTTCCGATTTAAAAACGTCGATCGAATGTGAACGTGAGCGTTTTATTCTAATTTCATATATCAGTGCCAAATATGAGAAGATATAGGAAAATATAGAAAACAGCTCACATATGGGAGAGCAAAACAATTTTTCAACCCAATGGAATCTAATTGGGTCAAATCGAAAGGACTATTGCTTACATTATATTTCAAAGAAAATTGGAAACTAAAACAGCTTGAACTGTTTCTTTACAAAAAGTTACACTTTAATCATTTATTCATTAAAAATCAATGACTAATAACGAAATTTAAGAATGAAAACAATACTCATAAGCTCTAATGTGCTATTTAATATTTAAAGTCTTAATATTTGCTTTTTATACCCTGTACCCGTAGGGTAAAAAGGGTATATTAGGTTTGTGCAAAGTATGTAACATGCAGAAGGAAGCATCTCCGACCCCATAAAGTATATATATTCTGAATCAGCATGACGAGAGAAATCGATCTAGACATGTCCGTCTGTCCGTCTGGATGAACGCAAGGATCTCAGAAACTATAAAAGCTAGAATAACCAAAGTTGGCATCCAGATTCTCCTAGGTCCGAGAAAGGACGAGTTTATTTTATTTTTTTTTTATTTTCCCCCCCTTCCTCCGCTAAAGAATTTCGTGCTACCTAAACCAAACTTTGCACACATAATTTATATATAATTGTCTACCGTTGTTCAAAATTTTATTCATTTTATTCGGTCAATTCTAAGAAAAGTTATTAGCAAAACAAATTCTCCCCAGTACAACCCCCTCCAAACTGCAGCAACAAGTTCGCTCTTCCTCTTCCTCTTTTTGCTCCTGCTATGGGCGCATATAATTCAGTGATGGAAGTTTACCTGGGTAAAGGGTATTACACGGTCGGGCTTGTTCGACTGTAGCGTTCTCTCTTGTTCAATATGTTTTATTTAAGCTTACTTTTTATTTTTTCTCAATGTTTTCATTGAACAATTTTTGGAGAAAAAGTCTAAAGAAAGAGGGGAACTTCCTCGCAAACATGGTAATGATAATATTTTAATTGACTTTTTAACACAAGTCAGAACAATAGCAACGACAGAGCATTTATTTATAAACCATATTTACTTAATATTTTGAACAATTGCTGCAAACATTCTTTCCTTTAATTTTTTTTTTGTATGCAACTGTGTAGGTTTTGAGGGCCGCTTGGGCAGCTGCGTTTGTTTATTTATTTGTATGAGTGGCATTGACAATTAAATTTATTGCTTAATTATTATGAAATTAATAAAAGATGCATGCCTGCCTGTTGCGCACCCAGTCAAGGGTGTAATGTCTTCATTAAAAAATGAGCCAAACGAAAACAGAAACAGAAACGAAATAAAAATCGAAATAAGAATGGGAATGAGAATGTGAGCGATGTGTACAGGATGACGATGATGATCACACAAACCGCCGCACGTCATCGCCTGTCTTAAGTGGCGGCCACACTCATAAATATACATACGTATATATATATATATATATATATATATATATATATATATATATATATATATATTCATTTATATATGTATATATATATACTTAACTAACTCAAATTGATCACGAGCTGACAAATAGAGTCGCGTGCTTCTTATTTGCCTGTGCGTGTTGTTGGCATTTGGCTTCAATTGAGTTGCGGCGCGCTTTTTTATTGCTTAATTTTGTTTTTATATATTTGTTTTCTCGCTCTTCCATCAATTGACCTTTTTTAATACTTAAGTGTACAAAATGAAAGCGGTTTTCATTACTATTGTTGTTATTGTTATTGTCGGTTTATAGTATTAATGAATTTGCGTTCTTTATGTCCATTGCAGAACATTGGTTTGGAGAATCGAGTCGACCAAGAACTGGAAACAGAGCCCGCTTTTCAGCTACACCGAATGCCGAGATTCTTGAAGCATCCGCAGTGGCCGCGTTATATTCCACCCTTGTCGATGCTAGTGCGCTGGTGTAGGCGCGTTCAGATCATCAAATAAACGGAGAGTCAAGCAACGACTGTTTATTGCATTGCATCATATATATTTAAATTTTTTCAAAACGGAGCTCCAATCACTGCAGCCAAGATGAGTTTCAGCTCGGCCAGCGGCAGAGATAATAATGTCCGCAAATTATCCTTCCTGGGCTTCAATACCAAAAAGAAGGTGAGTTCAAAAATATATGCATATTATCGAAAGTTAGATATTTTTATTCTTTCTAACATGCGCATTAAGATTTATACTCTCATATCAGACTTTAGCCAGAACATGTATACAAAAATGTGTATAGGATCTCAAAATTGATTTTCTTGAAATATATAAAAAACACCGTTGCAATAAATTTATATTACAAAAAAAAACAATTATTTTGAAAAAACTGACTATATTGTATATTATGTTGTTGAAATTAAAACGTAATTTTTTCTAAAAATTGTATTTAAAAAAAATAGCCCATCACTTTGAAACAAAAAATTTTCGCGACTTTATTGAACATTTTCTATAATTATTGCAATAATTTTTTTACATATAAAAAACAGAACATACAAAATTCAAATTTAATGCTCAACAACAACAAAAATCAAACGTAAATCTTGAAATATTACTTCTTTTTTTTTTGTACACTTTTGTTAAGAATTTTGATTATTATCATCTCAGAAATTACAATCAAACAGATGAAAAATGTGATTTTAATTAGCAGTTCCCAACTCAAAAATCTAAAAAAATATGTGCTTATTGTAGGTTTAATTCTGCTACTTTATTATTAAATGCGCAAAACGCAAGTTGAGTTAACAACTCTCTCTGTCTCCCGTCTGTATAAGACCTTGGAAATAAAAAGAGTAAGATAACTAAACGTGGTATTAATATTCCTCAAAGCCCTAGGCAGATTACTATTTTTTTAAGGACATTATATCTATAAACCAATCTGTGTTTTGCCAACGTCTGTTGGTGTTGTTGTAGCGGCTTTGGTGTATCTCTGTACTGAACACATACAGCCAAATAGACAAGCCTAGACGCAATTCCAAGATTCAGTGTATTTACGAGTTGAATGGGCTCGACTTTAGATTTTCATCTTGTTTCCATTTTCCAATTTTATAGATCGGATATACTTTGTATTAGTGTATTTCAATTATACTAGTTAGCTAGTTCTGTTTAGAATCCCAACTACTATCTGAACAACTTTTCATTCTGATTTTGAAACAGTACCTATAGCTTCTACGATAAACACAAATTTTGCCCACAACCTAAGCCCCAGATACAAACTTGGATTCATTTTCTGCGAAAGAATGTTTCAGCGAAAAAAATATTTAATCGTAGTAACGCCTTATAGAATTAGCGTAATACAATATAATTGGTATCTAATCGCGGTGACAAAAATTTATTTAAAAAAAAAGAATACATTAAAGTTTTCACGAAGCAGTCGTTCAATATTTTTTCTCTTATGATGTTTCGATGTTTGGAGTTTAATTAAATTTTGTAATATATACTTGTATTTTTCCAAAAATTGTCTACCTAAATGTTAAAATGTATTTTCTCGACATTAAAATGTCAATTAGTCTTGCGCTTAATTAAAGCTCAATAAGCCATGATAACTGAAAAAGTATTAATTTGTAGCTTATTGTTATTTGCATTGGCAGATGACTCATTCGATGGTGTTTATGTTTTGCATTATTTTAAAATTAATTTTTAACCAAAGTATACGATCGAAACACATCTCTCCCATAGTTGCCAAACAACTGTCTATAAACTAATCGTAAAGCTTTCTTAAGCAAATATTTGCCGGTACTTTTCCATGGCTGCAGCAAATTTGAGTTTAATGTGTGCGCACATTTTTTGCGAATTTTTTATAAAACTATTTTTTTTTACGCGCAAGTAATGCCAAACCATTGTTATTGATTTCGTTGTTGTTGTTGTTGCTGTTTTTACTACACATTTCCGCAATTGGCATTTTTTAAAAATTGTAGCTTGTATGTGTGCCTTTTTATTTGCAAGTGCGTTTGCCCGCAAGCCAATGAGTGACACAATTTAGAAACCAGTTTTCGATTTCAAATTCAATTTTATTTTGCTTTTTTGCTTCGTGTGCCAATACCCTAGACAATAAAACTAGATGTCAGCAACAGACACATATAAATGTATGTATGTACATACTATTTATATATATTTATTGATGGTGACATTGTGAGGCAACTAATCATGCATTCATTCATTCATTCGCCCGCACACGAACAACAGTTATGTGCGCCTGAATGTTAGACAAAGAGACGCTTTAAAAACACTCGTTACGTATACGTAGTGTTGCACGCGTTGGCGGCTTAAAGGCTAAATCTAAATGAGAACGCTTAGCATGTGCGCGCGTAAATGATGACAATTGTAACACGAACAACAAACAACAACGACAATAATAGCGATAGCTACAACACTTTCAAAATGAAAACAAATGCGCCATTTTAATTGTGCACACAACAACAAGCACCAGAGGAACAAGAGCAACAGTTAAAACACAGCGCAGGAAGCTAGGTAGTGGCATTCAAATGGGCGGACAGACAAAACAGGAAATCAATATTCGTGGTCAAGGTTACAACTACAACTATAACCACAACAACAACAACAACAACAATAACAAAGTGCACGTGTGGCCATCGCAGCTGACATTGAAAATTGTTGCTTGAAAGTAACGAAAACACAGACACCTGCACTTTGTGTGTAGAGTTAGAACTGAATTATTTATGATTATACCATTTCATCCTTAATTAAAATTGCCTGGCGCGCCGCAAAGTATGCTCTGAATTATGAACGACATTTCAATTAGGCCGCGAAAGATATACCACTTGGGTGATATAACTTAATTAGCCCTCATAACGCTGACAACAGCCTCATTAATTAGTGAGTACAGATGCCTGGGCTCAAAAAATGACACTCATTAGACCAGGCTCGGAAAGTAGACAGGCAGTGAGGCAGCCAGCCAGCCAGCCAGCCAGCCAGCAAGAAGCGCCTAATCTCTGCTTAACTCTTGCATACAAGCATGCATGGTGTGTGTGCGTGTGTGTGTTTGTTTTTGTTTTTGTTGTTTCGTAGGTGACATAAAATATTTTTATGGCCTCTTTATGACAATATATACACATCGTATATAGGTTGTTTGAAAACATTTTGCGCGCAAAGCTTTTCTCGCATACAAAGTTAAAAGCTCTTCCATACACGCACACATACTTGTACATACTTAGAGGCAGCTGCACAGCAATGCGGCCTTGAGCGGCCTTGACCACGTGCGAGGTAACTGGCTGACTGGGATAAGCTTCTGACTGTTTATTGCTCGTTGGCCGTTGCTGCCAACTGTAAGGCGAATGTGAACGTTTTCCCCATTTGCTGCTGGCCATTTCAGCTGCCAAATGTTGCAACACAGCTGCATTAATTATGCACCATTTATAGAGCCGCACACTAGCCCACAATTTTTAAAATATCAGTGAGCTTTGAGCAGAGCTTTCGCTGCACCTTCTGCACCCACACACACACACATACACACACACTTGTACAGTAGATATTGTTTGATTTTAAATATTGTTTAATAAATTATTGATAAGCCACCAGGATAGGTCTAATTATAAAATCAATACTGCTTTATTCAATCATTCATGGAGATTTGAAAATGCATTCGCAAAGTCAACTTTTGTTTCATAAACTACAAATGCTAGCGAAACGAAAAATTATATTTAATATTGCATTGATATATTATTTGGCTCACCGTAAGAAAGAGCAAATTTATTCGATAAACAAATTCAGCGAAAAATATTTGAAAATTTCTTTCTATTTAAAAGTAATCTAATTCTTGGAATGCTGGGATAGAGATTACAAGAATAAATTAATAATAAAGGCCGGTCATAGGCAGCCATTCTTTAAAAACCAAAAAACTGTTGTTGCGAAATTCACGAATAAACACAGGAATAACATTGCAATTTACCGACATTTTTAATAATATTGATAACTGGACCTTCATGTTTGGTATTTCATTTTTATTTACAAAAAGGGGTTTGTATTTGAGAATCGTTCAATTTTATTTATTTGACCATAGGACTCATCGAACAGAAGTAGCTCAACTGTTATATAAGTCGTTTCATTTAACGAATTATCACTGTGGACATTAAAATGCATGTGATTTACGTCAGCAATTCAGTTGCTGCTTCTATTGTCCTTCCATGCCTCTATCCTTCCTTCCTGCTTTGCTTGCTAGCGTAGCGTAAAGCACGCCCTCTGTTTAGCCGCAATGGCCGTGACAAAAACAGCTGAGCTGAGTTGAGAGCTCATCGCTGAGCCAACAAGCGCTGCAGCGTAACCAGCCAGCCGCCCAGCTGTGAGCTGTAAACTGTGAGCTGTCCTACAGTTCTACAGTTATACGAACGTTTAAATGTTGTGCGCCGGCGCAGGAAACACATATGTGTGGCAGCTGCCGAGACGCTATGGAGCGCCTCACAGTAGGCCACATTTATTTGCTGGAAAGCATTCCCCGTGGCAAGTACAATTGGCGCGCAAAACGTGTCTTCCTCTAGCGTCCCGTGTCCCGCGATTGTGCCGCGCCTTGGCGAGCTTGTTGAGCTGCTGCCGTTGCTGCTCGTCCTTTGTGAATCTTACAGGCGAGCCTGAACATTAACTCCTGCATCCGACATCGGCAGCAGCAGCTACCTAGCATTGATAGTAAGCTGTTTGAAAAGCTAAAAAAAAGTGCAACAGGCACGCGGTCCTAGCAACTTTTCCCATCAATTTTTCCTACTGTTTTAAATTCTCTGCCGCTCTGCAGCTTCTCGAAGTTGTTACGAAAGCGTACGGCCAAGTGAAAGTTGTCTGCTGTGTGTGCTTCGTTTTATGTGCGTGTTTGTGTGTGTAGAGCGTGCCGTAAAATCATTTCGAAAAACTTTATTAATAACTACGTGAAGCATTCAAGGTAAATATATATATGAATACCTACAACTGAATTATACTTATATATACTTCGGAAAAGTTAAACTGTTTGATCTATAAGCCTGAATTGAAATTGCCACACACATTCATACATTTACCTGCTTGGCATATGAAAAGTTTTCAAGAGCACAGTGCCTTGAACAAGTTTTTAAGCTCACACACACACACACACACACTTTTAGGCACACGACTGCGCACACACAGATATGAATTCTGCT